ATCAGGTCCGGAATCTATTTCTTTCAAAAGTGTTGCACCAGGTTTATGTTGTCGGCGTTTCTCTTTAAACCTAGTTGTTTTTTTCATGTTCGAGGACAGTTTTTCCAAAAAATGAATCTGAGGTTAAGTGGCTTTCGTCCACTGATGTCGCACCTTCGGATCGATTAGAAACGTGTGAATACTTACACCATGACTATACGTTTCACTGCAACTGCCCACAACACAACATCTAAAAACTCTCTCTCTCTCAAAAAAAAGAAAATAGACAAAAAAAGAAAGAAAAAAAACGCCGACTGAAAAATGTATATCGTTTAAAAGTATACTGAATGACCAGTGTTATTACGGCTCAGGGGTATGACTTCCTCTCATATTTTGGCATTTTGGTGGCGCACTTTCGGCGAGAGTCGGGAATCCGGAAACAGTTGACCGTTTCAGGATAGGTGGGCGTGGCTACAGCACGAGAAATATCCCAAATTTACTTGGATACGAGTAATCATTTTCAGCAAAAAAATCAATAACTGCCCATTTCAGTGGGATACAGATCTAAAATGGGAAACGTGAGGGTGGGCATTGCACAGGCACTTTAAATGACCATTTGTACATGCTGACCTGTGACACAAGGCACTTACTGTAGAATACTTTATTTTCGCTTGGAATTTATTTTCGCTATTTTCGCTGAAGGGATGATTTCGTGAAAATAAAATCCAGCGAATATACTTTTTTTCCTATATTTCACATTAAACTCATCAAAAATCAGTGAAAATAAATTCCATACAAAATGCCCAAAAAGCCTTTTCAGCGAAAATTAATTCCAGTGAAAATAAAGTATTCCACAGTAACTAATTTTTGAATAAAAATATGACACAATAATCTCTCCATTTGAGGGGCAATTTGTCTACATATGCAAAAAAGGTAGTCACTGGTTACATTAGTCAATTAGCCTTTATATACAGTTTGACTTACAACAACATGAGTTGGGACTTACAAAGATGGTGAAAATGGGTAGGTGGTCTTTGATAAAGGTGACCACAAAAAAAGGCTCGACTGATCCATGCAAATGGCAGTTTATAGTGAATGGTAGGGTATTCATAAAAGCGGTTCATTTGTCCTAATACATGCTTGTAATATTCTATTATTCTTACACGTTTTGTTCTATACTTTAGGATTTCTCACTCTTTTCATATCTTTTACTGAGAAAGTATACTTTGGTGAAATTGGTCTGGTTATGTTGAATAAGGACTCTGATCGCCTACTACCATTTTTATGGTGAATCATAGTTGACCATGTGCAACCAATTATGGGTCAGAGTAATAATCAGAGACATCTCTATGCAATAATCAATTATTAAAAATAATTTTATTAGTAGAAAATTTATTATAAATTATTATAAGACAATGATAAGCACACTTACGTAATCCATTGGATGTCTCAACTAAGAGAGAAAATCCTATATCTGCTGGATTAGTGATGTAATCTGTGTCAAGCCTGATCCACATTGAATTACCGACTATTGTGAACATTCCCTGAGGATGTGTATTGTCCATATCAGTGTATCTAGACACTACAGTGGATATATCATACGAGTCTTCACCCCACCCGATTAGGACAAAGTCAGTGAGTTGGAAATCGAGGAAAGTGACATCAAGGTAGCTATTTCCTGGTGGGCCTTGTACAATCCAATGACAGTTGCGGCTTTCTGGATATGGTGATGGGTAGTTAGTCGAATTAATGACACTGGAATTGCCTAAAAGGGTAATATCCCCACCGCATCTTGGAACAGTATCTGTTGAGTGAAAGAATCTGTGTTATATAGAGAAGTGATCCTATTTTTCTTGAACGAGCTAAGTAATTTCCATAATGGTCTGAGACATTGGATGTTACGATGGAAACCTTTTAAAAAACAAAATAATGCTATGTATCGAGTGAAGGACTAGAAACCAGTTTAAGCCAAGCCCTGC